AAATGCTATGCTTACACACAAGACTATCCATCTTCCCAAAAGCTTTGTGGGGACTACTCTACAATGGCGGACGGCCGCCCGTAGGCCCCTCAGAGGAAAAGCTTTCTCCCAGCAAATAAAGGATGCTCAACTCTGCACAATATAGGGATTGACACACTTTCAAGAAGAACATAGAATAGTGAGGATCCAGCATGCAGAACACGACGATCATTAGAAATTCACGAAAAAATCCCAAGATATTCGATAAGATGATGTTTTCCCTTTATTAGAAAGAGAATCACATAAAGACATACGAAATTACAAGGAATGAGAAATCCAGACTACGAATGTGCACTTTCCATTCACAGCACAGGCATGTACAAACAACTGTATTAATGAAAGAGCAACCTAGGTTTTGTCCCAACAAACAAGAATTCACCTGATAATGAACTTACATATTAGTTCAATTAAATTAGAAGAGGCAGATCAGCTCAGCATGTCCAAAAACATATACAAATGTAAAGTTTTCAAGCTAAATTCCAGGTTAAAGGAAAGAATTGACATCAGCCTTGAAAATCTTTATATTCTCAGCAAATGAAGTGGACAATTGAACAACTTGCATCTCACAGAAATATTGAAGTCAAAAACCACTAATCCAGATTAATATTTTTCTCAAGCCTAGACCAAGGACTTGAATGCAGCTCAGGCTATTTTCAGATTAACAGATTTTTTATAATTTGAAATCTTAATAATCTTTCCATGTAAATCACATTTTTACATGGTATCTAATTCATTAAACAATACAAAGTCAAAAATCTGAACCAATAGCCACTAATTCTAATGACACAATAGAAATACAATGACCCAAAATTTTTGTAAAGAAAAAAACATGTTTGGAGAGTGAATAGTAAGTGTGGGTCTATGAAACGTATAGATATAATGTATTTTATTGATTAAAATATTTTCACATATAGTCGGTCATGTTACAATACGTACTTTATATTTCAATTTTTAAATCGAATGTGTGGAATCTTATGCTCTTTTGATTTTTCTTTTGCTTAATTGTTTCACAGTAAAAAATGTGGCACATTTTAATTATATTAAAGGTCATTAACTTTATTTATTATCATACTTTTATCCTTAACTTTTTTCTTTATCACATTCTTATTTTTAACATTTTATTGACCAGAAAATTTTGTCCTTAATCATGATTTTCGTCCAAAACATTGTTAGTGTGCTTTAAAATGAGAGTCAAATATTTATCCCATTTTTGCATTATTATTTGTTTTGCTTATTTAAAAATATAATGGACAAATGAGTCTTTTTACTTTATTTTTAGAGAAAAATTTGAGAGAAACCATAATTAAGACCATTTTTTGTTAATTTGAGAATAAAAATGCGATTAAAATTTTTTTGAAATATAAATGTGATAATGTGTGAATGTTATGAGTCTTTCATGCAATTAAAATGTAGTCTAATTATTTAAAACTGCGGTGTGAATATATTTAGCCTAAAAATTATTCATCCATGCATTAGACGAACATTAATGAAAAGATAGGTCGAGTCGTCAAGATTCGAGGTGGCCTCACCATTATTCTTTTCAATTGTTTTGGTTCTTCAAAAAATTAATTGAAAAACCGAAAGAGAGCATGACTCGATCAGCAAAAATCATGGCTTTGGATCTCTATGTTGGTTTATCAAACCCGTTTTACACAAGTGACCGGGTCGGATTTGATACCAAAACAAGAAAATCTCATTATACAATTTAGAAATTCATATTAAACGGAAAAAACCGCAAATATTCTATTAAGAGGAGCAAGATTTCTTCACACCTGTCTTTGTATTTCTCGTCTCTCTCTGACATCTTTCTCAACTTCCTACTTCATGGTAAACAGTAACCTACCTCCCTTTCTAAGCAGATTAAGTCATACCGAAATATATATATACTCTATTGTCTGTGTGTATTTGTCATAAAATATCCGTCTAGAGGTTACTCTCTCTCTCTCTNAAATGAATATTTATAACTTAAAATAACGAATCAAACGTAAAATTAAAAAAAAAAGGCTTAGCCTAGCTGGGCCAAGCCATAAAGCCATTAGACTCGGCTCGACTTATGAACAGTACCACTAAACTCCCTCTTTTATTTATGTAGGATTAAAGAAACCATTGGGAGGTAACAACACACACAACAAACTAAACAGAAAAGTAAAGTGAATAATGCTCATTGGACAAGCTCAAAGACGAAAATGGACCGACATGGTGATGTGGCAGATAATAATTGGGCATTGTGTTTTTATTTTTTGCAAACTGTCAAATCATATGTCGACATGTGTCCCCCTATTTTTGAGCATGTTTGTGTATCATGATTAAATATGATAACTGTACCCGTTTGTTGGATTTCAAAAATAAAAAAATGACTGTTTTTTGAGACTCTCAAAAGAAAATGATCGTCTTGTCTTGTGTCACGATTAACGTGTGAGAACACATGCGGCCAATAGACTTCCAAGAGCATTCGTAATATTTTTTGGTGGGGTCTAGTAAGAGAAGAATTTTCAGATGGTATACTGCATAAAGAATGTAACCAATGTATAACGCGCGTAGGAGCACTCCTTCAGTCCTTCCTGCATATTCATACAAGACCCGAGTAGGCGAGTTGAAGTCCTACGAGGTACCCATTACTCGGAGTACCCTCCCAAAAAGAAAAAAGAAGTGTTTGTCACGTTCGATTCTTCTTAATTGGGTTGGGCGGGTTTGACCAGAAATGCCATGCTTACACACAAGACTATCCATCTTCCCAAAAGCTTTGTGGGGATTACTCTACAATGGCGGACGGCCGCCCGTAGGCCCCTCAGAGGAAAAGCTTTCTCCCAGCAAATAAAGGATACTCAACTCCGCACAACATAGGGATTGACACACTTTCAGGAAGAACATGGAATAGTGAGGATCCAGCATGCAGAACACGACGATCATTAGAAATTCACGAAAAAATCCCAAGATATCCGATAAGATGATGTTTTCCCTTTATTAGAAAGAGAATCACATAAAGACATACGAAATTACTAGGAATGAGAAATCCAGACTACGAATGTGCACTTTCCATTCACAGCACAGGCATGTACAAACAACTGTATTAATGAAAGAGCAACCATAGGTTTTGTCCCAACAAACAAGAATTCACCTGATAATGAACTTACATATTAGTTCAATTAAATTAGAAGAGGCAGATCAGCTCAGCATGTCCAAAAACATATACAAATGTAAAGTTTTCAAGGTAAATTCCAGGTTAAAGGAAAGAATTGACATCAGCCTTGAAAATCTTTATATGCTCAGCAAATGAAGTGGACAATTGAACAACTTGCATCTCACAGAAATATTGAAGTCAAAAACCACTAATCCAGATTAATATTTTTCTCAAGCCTAGACCAAGGACTTGAATACAGCTCAGGCTATTTTCAGATTAACAGTTTTTTTATAATTTGAAATCTTAATAATCTTTCCATGTAAATCACATTTTTACATGGTATCTAATTCATTAAGCAATAAAAAGTCAAAAATCTGAACCAATAGCCACTAATTCTAATATGACACAATAGAAATACAATGACCCAAAATTTTTGTAAAGAAAAAAACATGTTTGGAGAGTGAATAGTAATTGTGGGTCTATGAAACGTATAGATATAATGTATTTTATTGATTAAAATATTTTCACATATAGTCGGTCATGTTACAATACGTACTTTATATTTCAATTTTTAAATCGAATGCGTGGAATCTTATACTCTTTTGATTTTTCTTTTGCTTAATTGTTTCACAGTAAAAATGTGGCACGTTTTAATTATATTAAAGGTCATTAACTTTATTTATTATCATACTTTTATCCTTGACTTTTTTCTTTATCACATTCTTATTTTTAACATTTTATTGACCAGAAAATTTTGTCCTTAATCTTGATTTTCGTCCAAAACATTGTTAGTGTGCTTTAAAATGAGAGTCAAATATTTATTCCATTTTTGCATTATTATTTGTTTTGCTTATTTAAAAATATAATGGACAAATGAGTCTTTTTACTTTATTTTTAGAGAAAAATTGGAGAGAAACCATAATTAAGACCATTTTTTTGTTAATTTGAGAATAAAAATGCGATTAAAATTTTTTTGAAATATAAATGTGATAATGTGTGAATGTTATGAATCTTTCATGCAATTAAAATGTAGTCTAATTATTTAAAACTGCGGTGTGAATATATATAGCCTAAAAATTATTCATCCACACATTAGACTAAAAGAAATATTTCGAACATTAATGAAAAGATAGGTCGAGTCGTCAAGATTCGAGGTGGCCTCACCATTATTCTTTTCAATTGTTTTGGTTCTTCAAAAAATTAATTGAAAAACCGAAAGAGAGCATGACTCGATCAGCAAAAATTATGGCTTTGGATCTCTATGTTGGTTTATCAAACCCGTTTTACACAAGTGACCGGGTCGGATTTGAAACCAAAACAAGAAAATCTCATTATACAATTTAGAAATTCATATTAAACGGAAAAAACCGCAAATATTCTATTAAGAGGAGCAAGATTTCTTCACGCCTGTCTTTGTATTTCTCGTCTCTCTCTGACATCTTTCTCAACTTCCTACTTCATGGTCAACAGTAACCTACCTCCCTTTCTAAGCAGATTAAGTCATACCGAAATATATATATACTCTATAGTGTGTATTTGTCATATAATATCTAGAGGTTACTCTCTCTCTCTCTCTCTCTCTCTCTCTCTATATATATATATGTAAACACGCGTGTGCGTGTGATGATAGAGGGTTGTATTATTAATATCAAAATTAAGATGGGTATTTCAGTTATTTAATTTTGACTGATTCTTTTTATGTTTGTTGAGCTTGTTTCTTTGATTGGTGAAGAACTCAGAAGACTTCTTGATTGTATTAGACTAACGAAAAAAAGATTCCATATTTGTCCATATTGGAAACAATTTTTTATTAATTTTTCATGAAAAATTGTTGCACTGGATCATAAAATAGGATTTTGGAATGAATATAATGTGTATAATTTGATGTTTTATTTGTGGGTTTTGCTTTGTCAGTGTGTTGCTACATGTTCGATTTTGAATTACAACTTATGGCACAATATATCTATTTAGAGATAATATGAAAATGGCATAATTTAGTTTACAACTGGTGAGCCATTTTTTACTTGGTTATCTTACATTTCGTGGAAAAAGTAATTTGGGGGTTTTTCTTCTTTTGTTTCAACAAGAAATAGTCTAGCAACTCCCTTATTCTGCCATGTGTAGTGGGAGTATTTTTCTAGGAGGATTCATTTCCCTTATTCATTTTAGGTCAAAGGAAAGAGAGAGTTTAGCGAGGAAATATTTCCTGCTTAAACAAACAGAGTCGAAGTTTTCAGAACATTTAACAAAATTCTAGTTCAACAGATTCAGAAGACTGAAAAAAATCTGTGGTCAGTCAAATGTTCTTGGTCACAAAATTCACAACCACTAAATGAGGGGAATTAGTTCTGTTGCATTTTCTATTATCTCCTTATTTTATGTTTCTGTTGAACTATTGCCATTATATATCTTTGTTTTGTGATTGGAACTGTGGCAATAATATTGCAAACTGCCTTAGAATTTGTGAAACTACACTTTATAATTTGCATTGAGTATCTATACTGATTCCATATTATTTTCCTTATTGTAGTGCATTTTTTATTGATGCTTCTCTAAATTCGCTGATCCCATTCCAAAAGCAATAAGATCTCGTTGAAAGAAATAAGATCTAAGACTTAATAAGGGTGGTCCCGAATTGGCAAAAGAAGCTCCAAAAGTCATCAGCTAAACGGCTGACGAGATCAGGTTCTAGTTCAGTAAGAAGAGAAGTAGTCAGCAGGTATGCTCTGTTTGAAGCCTTCTTGATGATGAATTTTTGTTTAGCATAGCATTTTTATGAATAGTTTTACAAATCCAGTTTCCCAGAGGTGGCTCTAACTGTGCTTTGACAAATGTGCATATCTAGTGTGTATTTAAGTAGTCATCTTTGTCAGTTAGGTTCAGATAATTGGCCATGCATATGATGGTCAAGTCGCTTCAAAGTATTTACAAGAAATGATTTTTTTTTTTTTTTTCAATTTTGTACGTTTTTTATGTCTCTTTGTTGCAGAATGTTTCTTCACCCTTTCTTAGGTTCCAGAGAACTCCGTTTACACAGTGCAAAATTAATAAAACAGGAAGCATGTTTTATTGAAATCTAAGTGCTTGTTTGATTGTGCTTTTAAGTACTTACAAGTTGGGGGTCCTACCGAATATGTAAATAATAAGTGAGTACTAAGTTATGGGTCATATATGATGTGTGGATAAAAATTATATTTAACCAACTTGAATTATAATGTAAGATTTGACAAACATGCTCTAAAACTGGATCTTTGCTGTAGCAAACAAAGGAAAGTTACCATGTCCATTAATTTCGCTGGTTGAAATTAGGTGACACTTCCAAGAGAGAGCTTATACATCCATCAAATTCTTCTACTGAATTTCATGGGCGACATGGCAGACCCTACTCTATTACCACCATGCTACGTCAGCTAATGGTGATATTATCTTGACTGTTTGATTGTATGTGCATGAAATAGCACTTGGGCTCACCGTCTCAAATCATAAAACCATATTCTTGAAAACACTTCCAGAAAGCACAAACATAAATGAAAAAAAAGAAGATAATACAAGATGGGCTCTAAATTTCATTCTTGTCTGAATGATGAGTGGTGATTTAACTTCTTCCTTTTGTCAATAAAACCGTTTTGGCTAAAGGTTAATTACAGAGATCTCTGTGTGTTTATTCTTTGTTTACACCCACCTACCCACACACTATTTTCTGAAAATTCGTATGTTATTTGAATAGATCTCGTCTTAATTCATATCTTGGAGTTGCGACACAATGTATCTTAAATGAAATCAAAATTTCAATTCTAGATTTATGACCTATGGTGGAAATTAAGTTTCTTACATATATAAACATTCTGATTCTCATTTTCTTCCTATTGCAATAAGGGCAACCGATAAACATTCTGATTTTTCTTTTCTTTATTATATTATGCGGCTCTGATACGTTTCCAGTCCGTTGAAATGCAGATTTGCTTTGGTTATTTGGTATTTCCTAAATGAAAATCTTAGTTGTTCATTCATTTATTCTACTTGGTCGCAGATCGTCTTTTGGGATGAAGGCTTTGAACAGTAATGATCAGATTGATCCTGAAAGTGTGAAGTTGGAAGAAAATAGAGGAGGACCAGTGAAAAGTAAAAAAGTGAGCACAATACACAATCAAGCCTTGTTGTCTGGCCTTGCGTATTGTATTTCTTCCTGTAGCATGATACTCGTTAACAAGTTTGTTCTCTCCAGTTATGACTTTAATGCCGGAATATCTTTAATGCTGTACCAGGTTACCTGCCATAAAAGATTCCTTATTTATTCACTACGAGAAATTGCAGTCTTTATTCATTTAAATAATTCTCTATGGTAAACTAACAAATATTTGTTTACCGGTGCAGAATTTTGTTTCTGTAATTGTTGTCTCCAGTTTGAGTTTCCTTGGCATAATCACAACGGAACCACTCACATGGAGATTAATAAAGGTCTGGTTGCCTGTTAATGTAATATTTGTTGGGATGCTGATCACTAGTATGTTCAGGTATGAAGTTTTCTTCATCTAGTTATCTTTTTTCTCCATATATTTCACCATCATAATACTGAAGTATTATGGTTAATGATACTCAAGATTTAGTTCTGTTTTCTATCGGCTTATCCTTGCTTGATTTAATTCTTCTTTTTATTTGTTTCCACTAGAAATCCCACGTAAGAAGAAAATTTCCTACTGTGTTCTCATTTCTTCCTTTGCCTAACAAGTTGTCCATGTTCTTTGCAGTCTGAAGTACATTAATGTTGCAATGGTCACAGTTCTGAAGAATGTAACCAATGTGATGACTGCTGTCGGTGAAATGTATCTTTTCAACAAGCACCATGACAATAGAGTTTGGGCAGCACTTTTCCTAATGGTATGTCAAGTGGCTAAGAATATGTTTTGTTCATGCAAATTAATCACACTTCTGTCAATCAAACCTTCATTAATTAAGCTACGTTCTGATTAATAAAGCTTAACAGTCCATTGATTCTATATAGCTGTCTTGGCCAGCAGCACAAGAGTTGTGCTAAATAGCAGATCAACCTCGACTATCAAAGTTTATATAGCCAACACTAACTGATCATAATATAATCTTAATTAGCGCTTGTTTGGTAGTTCTTTTAAGTTCTTATAAGTTGTGAATCATACTCAATAAGAGGATAATAAGTGGATACTAAGTTATAGATCCCATAAAATGTGTGGATTAAAGTATGGTTGACCAGCTTAAATCATAATTTAAGCTTTGACATACATGCTTTTAATCACACTCAAATTCTCCGATTAAATAGAATAATAACTTAGGATATGTTTGGCTCATGTTTATTTATTTTTTATAAAGACACTGCCACTTTTTTCGAGGGGCTAGCAAGTACTATCACTTATCCACCACTCATTTAATTCTATTTATAATTTAAACCATTTATGAACACTTCCCAAACATGATCTTAGTCAATCAGCACGTTAATTGCAGTTTTTTGGAGTATTAGCTTTAACTGATCTTCTCTAATGAACTCTTTCATCACTGTGTAATGCAGATAATTTCAGCAATATCTGGAGGAATTACGGATCTCTCTTTTCATGCCATTGGATATGCATGGCAGTTTCTTAATTGTTTGTTGACAGCATCATATTCTGTGAGTATTTGTGTTTCTTACATTACTTCCCAATAATACAATGAATGATATGGCAAATTTTCGCATTTTTACACTATTATCTTTTTTGTGCATTTGTGACTTTTGTGGTATTATTTAATAACAAGCAATTTCATAGTGCCCTAATCTTTTATGTGATACAAAAATAAAAGATCTCTCCATTCTTGCTTGCTTCCAAGTCGAGCTGAATCTCAATACATTTGGTATGAGAAGGATTTGAAGACCATCAAAAGTTGAAATTACACTTGGAGGAGGAGAGAGTGAAATAGGGAACACTGAGATCATGTCTAGCAATTGCCGGCGAGCTGTAGGACTGAATTGTTGATAAATGACATGGGATTAAAAATGATGGTTCCAGAGAATCAACTTGGGTTTAAGCCTTGGGGATCAGCGCCACAAGGGAAACAGCCACCTCACATCCTCCAACAAAATCTCACTCAAAAGGTGCCGAGTTGGAATCCCATTCTAAGATAGAATCTAGTTATCTGTAAAAAGGCTAGTGAAACGACACAGAAAGGAATAGAGAGATCTTCATTTGGCTTTCGTTGATCTAGAAAAATGTATTGAAAGGTTCTTAGAATTTTTAAAAGAAGTGAAATGTACGAATATTGTGAAGTTTTCAAGGATATGTCCATGGCCTTTGACGAAAATTATTGTTGAAGAGTCATCTGATTTCCCTAGTATTCTTGGGTGGCATCAAGGGTCAGCTTTAAGTCCTTGTTTGTTCTAATTGTGGATGAATTGACTAAGGATGTACATGATGAGATCCTGTATTTCAAGCTTTTTGTGGATGACATTGTCTTGTGGATGAGACCGAAAGGGGAATAGTTTCCATTTTAGAGTTCTTGAGAGAACATGGTAAACATACAGATTCAGAATTAGTCGCGTACTAGTGAATGGATAGTAGAGACTGAAATGAAGATCATTAATGGTTTTGCTTGTTACAATTATGTATTGGCATTTATTCTGATAAATTCTTTCAAATTTCATGTTATTAAGCACCTTTCGTGTACTTCCTACGGTTTCTAGGACTATTTAGCTGATGAATTTTCTACAAATTATTAATCATTTCTTCTTAATTAGTAGCCGATTAATCTTGAGGTAGCTATCATTTTCCTGTGCTGCAGTTAACTTTGCGTAGGGTTATGGATACTGCTAAGCAAGTCACCATCTCTGGAGACCTGAATGAGTTCTCAATGGTCCTCCTAAACAATGCACTTTCACTGCCTCTTGGGCTTTTGCTCCTTTTTGTATTCAATGAGGTTGATTATCTTTCAAGAACGTGAGTTTTGTTTTCCTTATCATCATTTATGATTATTTACCGTCAATTCCTATATTTAAGCATAGATCATTTATTCAATTAATTTAAAGATACATGTAAAGAAATAATATATGTTGAAAGTCAAGAATTATGTAGTGGTTATTTTTGGATACTTGTTGGGCTTAATTAGATACAGAGGAGAGGTTAGAGATGAGAGTGTGTCAATTATAATAGAGCAGCTCGAGTTAAGTGGTGTTTATTATTAAAGTGCTTACGACATTTTTGATAGGCAGAACTGGATAATACTTGACGGTATTGAAGAAGCAAAAAGAAGATAAAATCTTACTTATTATACAATGTAGACCTATCTAATACCGTGTAATATAAATGCACTTATGATTTAGAAGAGCACTACTAGGGGTTTGTGAATTCAAACAATTCTATTTCTACTTTATCAGGTTGTACTGTTATATCATTGAGTTATTTTTATAACTTCAAATTTTATTTTGATACAATCATAAGGACATTTAGAAAATCAATGTGAATGCTTTGTGTCTTTGTGTACTTGTATTGACAATCGCAGACCACTTTTGAGATTGCCGACCTTCTGGCTGGTATTGACGCTCAGTGGATTCTTAGGTTTAGCAATCAGTTTTTCTTCCATGTGGTTTCTTCATCAAACCGGGGCTACTACGTACAGGTGAGATTTCCATTTAACTGATTACCTGCCTTCTATATCTTTACGTATCTTAACAAGTGCGATAAAAACATTTTCGGGAACAAAATTTACTCTTTTAAGCTTCTATTTTTGTTTCCTGCAGCCTCGTGGGATCGTTAAACAAGATACCTCTTTCTGTCGCCGGTATCCTTCTCTTTAAAGTCCCGACTAGTTTGGAAAATTCTGCGAGTATATTTTTTGGTAAATTTCTATAAACTTTGCGAGCTTAATAGCTTTGTTAGACTACAAATCACCTGTTGACCTGCGTTTTGTAGGCTTGTTGGCAGGAGTGTTTTTTGCCAGAGCAAAAATACGTGAAAGATCTTCATCTTGATGGACTTACCGCAACTTCCTCTGTAAACCAGTAGCTTTTTTGCCACTCTGTACATTTCTCCCTTTTATTTGAGGAAATATACTCGATAATTTTTGGATCATTGTTGTGATGGAAAATGGTCAATTTTTTGTATGTGCTGTTCACATTTGATGTAGAGTAGTGTAATATGATTAGACAATATAATAAATAAAATTTTCGTTTATTTTATTCCTTGAACTATCCAGTATTATCACTCCATGCATGGAGGTCACTAGTTGTGCCTGCCATGTTGATCTTGCTATAAATTTAACGTTACCCTTTCATCACGAACCTTTCAACATTCTTATGATGAGTTTCGTGCCTTTGATTTCTGGCATGTGGGTCCCTAACATTTCAACGTTTGCTGATTTTTAATGTAAATTGTTAGATTTGAATAAACAGGTGTTACGCAAGTGTCCTTAGCACGAAGGGTAAAAATGTCCAATATAGTTCATACTATGTGTGATCTATTATATTAGCTATCATTATTAAATTAAAGAAGTCTTTCTCTATCCTCTTACCCCAAAACCCTACCATTTGTACATAGTTTGGAATGTTAGATCTTGAGTGTTAAAATCAAAAGTTCACGACTTCATTGTCACTAGGTTCAAAAGTTTGGGACTCAGTGTTATTTACCAAAAAAAAAAAAGGGTAATTATATTATCACTACGAAATTTATTCGTTACACCACAATTTTAAGTATATTTTTTATTTACTTAAAATAACCTTAAATAAAATTACGTATGGGGTTTTAATATATTTATTACATAAAATAATTTATTGTTCCACAACAATCATAAACCTAATTTTTCATTTTTTTTCCCCTCAACAATTGTGCAAACGATATCAATTCTTTGCGAAATCTACTTTTCCATTTATGCAGTGAGCCCCATTCTCATTAGAGAAGTCAATTATGCAAAGTTTTGAAGTCAGAATTTTCTCTATTCGAAAACAACAAATCTAACAAAAAACAATTTTTCTTCGTGATGGTTATCGATCTCTTCCTCAAAAACACGTCTAATGAGGTCTCCTCTTGAAGCAATGTAATTTGCATTGTTTGCAGCATTCAACACCCAACAGCAAAAGATAATTCAAGTAATCAAGCCAATGAAGATTGACAATAAATGCTCAAAACACAATGCCAATATCAGTTGAAAAGAGATCCCTTGTTTTTCAGACGTAAGGCATTTCGAAGTCTCAATTGCAACCTAAAATTTAGAAAAAATAATGAAATTGTAGATGAGAAAAATGAGGAGTAATATTGGTAAGATAAGTACACCACAATAATTTTTTTTTTCATTTTTAATTTTTACTATATTAGGAATATAATTGTAAATTTGTTGTAGCGTATTTATTGGAAATATATTTTAATTGGGGTGTGATTATAATGTGGTGCGGTAAGTAATTTTTGTGGTGGTAATATAATTACCCAAAAAAAAAAGGCAAGAGCTTGTAGCTCAGCTTGACCTGATTGAACTCGACTCGGAGCTCAAGCCGAAGTTATAGCACGTTTTTTATGAGTTCGAAAAAGCCCAATCTCAAACCCAAATATCATACTATCTACAATGGGCCGACTCGGCCTGCTTATTTGCCCTAGAATTCGCAATTGCGACTACATAAATCGTGTAGAGTTGAACGCGCGTAAGCATCGGAAGACTCCGGGAGAAACTGGAGAGAAGTGCCAACCCAATTTTCAGATTTCAATTGTAACTGCACTGTTTCTTATTCGTTTTTGATTTTCTCTAAACACAATTTCTAATTAGTATTGTAGCAGCAAATCCCATGGATGAATCTGAATTTCGTCGCTGTCTTGAGCTCTTTCCTGTCGTTCGATCTCGCGATTATCACGTAAGCCCCCAAAACCAGCTGACATATATATGCACTTTTATTTATTAATTTGGTACCTCTAAGATTGTATTTAGGAAATTTTGATTTAGGGTTTTCGTTATCTGATTTTATTTGGTTAAAATATTTTGTTCTTGTAGTACCCCTTTGTATTTTTCTCACATTATGTATTAATTTTGGTTCTTTTGATCTTTAATTTCGATAGGTTTTTTTCAAGCGGTAATTTATCCATGTTACGAATATAATAAAATGCCAAATTTTATGTATAATTTGGTTTTAAATGGCAAATAATAATAATAATAATTTCTATTTTTATGCTCTCTATTCTGACCAGACAGTCTCTAATATCAATAAAATTTAGCAAAAACATGTTCGGGACCTGTTTTTAGAATGCTTTCGCTTATGAGGGATTCATGCCCCAATGATTTGATAATGACAATTTACTGGGGGACTGTAATGGCCTACCCTAGAGTACGTGGCTTGTCATGGATAAGTTGCTTTTGGGATTCTAAATGTTAATTTTCCAGATGTATTTCAGATGGACTCGGATTCTTTGAGACAATCAACATCTGGGTCTGCAAAAACTGAGAAGTGGCATGATGCACGGGATGGTGGGGATAAAAGAGGTACAAAGCCAATTCAATCTTGACCTTTTGTCATTTTGAGATGAACATTTGAAAAAATACAACTAAAGTGTTAGGATGATACATATATGCTCACATTTTTTCTTCCTTGAATGAGTTGGGCATCTAAAAGAAGAAATGTGCCTGTGAAAAGTTGTCCTTGTTAAGTTCTCTAAGTCTTCTGGTATAGCTGGGAGATCTAACAGTATCTATTTTAATCAGTTATATGATTCTGTACTTTTTCTGTTTATCTCCCTTCTTTTCAGAACTTCGCTTACTGTAGTGTCGATTCCGCTTTAATCAGTGCTTATTTAATCTTTCGCTTAAATTCCTTCAGGTATAGCTGTAGTGTTGATTCCGCTTCAATCAATACTTATCAATCTTTTGATTTAATACCTACAGCTATAGCTAAAAAATGGATGGAGTGTACTATCTGTGATGCCTTTCTCCATTTATTTAAGTCATTTCTTGGAACAAATGTAAATTCTAGAAAAAAAAAAATTGGGGCCAGATAATTTTTTTATTCAGTGTTGATTTCATTGCTGCTCGGTTAGATTTTTCTTTGTTGTAATGAAAATCATATTTTATGCTGGTGCAAACTCATATTTTATGCTGGTGCATGGGACAGAAGCATTCTGGAACAAGCTAAAGTTGGCTGCCACAGAGAAGGTATATTTTCATCATTTTTGTATTATAAGAACTGATTTTCATGTTAAATGACACAAGTTCTTCACTATCTTGTTTATTAGAAATTGATGAGCTGTCTTCAATTATTTTTTGATTTATGGTCTTATTCTGAAGCGTATTTTAGTTTTACGGTTATGATGTCACTTAAGTTGCCTTTTTGCTTTCTGAAAATCTTTTTATCTCACGATTCCCCCGAAAGCACCTTTTTACTGGACTATTTGAGCTTGCAGTATGCTAATAAACCCATTTCTCATTTGGCTTATTGGATAGCTGTCAAAAGATTTTCACTATGAGCGTGCTTAGCAAAGCTTAAAAAATTTACTTTTTTTAAATAAGTTTTAAAATATTTATTTTATTGGTCAATGTTACAAGTAAGTTGCTTATTTTGACAATAACATAATATTTTCAAAAAAAGTAACTTTTCTATTCATTAACGTTAATCTTTAGTAAGCTATGATTTATTGCTGCCTCTAGCAAAATGAACTTTTGTTGGTTTTCGTTTGATGTACGTGTAACATAAATCAACCGTTTACCACTTCTTGCAAGAGTAGTAGAGTTCTAAATAATATGAGAAACGACAAAACAACTTATTGTGCGTGCCTTGTTTTCAGATGGATCCAACTGAAGCAGAAAGATTTTGCAAGGCATTTCAACAAGTTTATAATAAACTTGTAAGTATACTAAATCGATGCATTTCTTTGCTTAGTAAGTAGCCATCACAACCACATTTTCTGTTTCTTTAATTCGTCTGTCAAATTATATATTTCTCTTACTATGATCCAGGTGTATGAAGAATTGACATTAGATGCAGCTCGAAAATTCATAAACTCTTCAGGAGCTTCTGGAAAATAGTTGTATGTAACGCCTGAACTTGTTTTGAACCATGAAATAGTGGTTTTGAGTTAACACTGTTAACTTAGCAGAATCATTTTGAAATCCTGCCTTGTGTTTGAATGATTATTCAGTGTTCATTGGTGTGTTTTTTCCCCAGTAAATGAATGTTATGTTTATGATATATTTTGTTTTATGCACTATGTTTCTCCTTTTTTTGGGTTTTCTAATATCTATTTTTTGCTATTTTGCAATATGGGCTTGTTTCATGTGGATTTTTAAGAATAGATTTTGTGAAATGATTGTTTGTGAAGAATGTGTTTACGTGTAAGATTATTTTATTTAGAGAGAATATGTGGTTAAAAATAAGTTTTAAAGAATCAGTATCATGGACTTTTTTTTAAGCAGGGGTTGAGGATAAATTGGAAAATTTTAAGAGCCATTTTTAAAGAATCAGTAACATGGACTATCGGTAACATGCTTATAGTTTTTGCATTTTTCTTCGGCTATATATAAAACTGTCCACAAGAGCCTTGAGCCTGGTTGCCTATACTTCTTTGTTACCCTCCCCCGACCCCTTGTCCGCTGAAGACATTTTATAAGCAGTGAACGGAGACCTGAAATCAGTGGATATCAACGTGCCTGGAACAATTATTAAATGTGTATTTTTCATTCGGGAACTATTTCATATAAACCAGAACGGTAGTCAGTCATTCAAATCAGCGTGTCATACAATAGGGAACCATTTCATAACGAATTGTTAATCACACGTGGCCTTCACCCAATGGGTGGAGTTGGTCACGCACACTCTCACGGTGGAAATATATATGTGTGAGAGAGTTTTAAACGTGAACCTCCTAGTATAAAAAAAGGGGGTCGGCTTTGGGGAGAAATGAGTAAAAGATGGGACAAGAATATAACTTATAAAGTCTAAATTTGCATTACTCTTGAATTACATTAATTGTGAGTTTTTATACCTGGATAAGACGAACGAAAGCTGTGGGAGGACGACGCACGTGGCTTCATCCAAATGACTGACCTTTCTTGTCATAGACATCAATCAAATCACAACTTTAAATGTTGATATCGCTTGCATCCATAAAGACCTATCTTGAAGCCTTTGACCTAACCAAATAGGATGGGGACGGTAGTGGCAATGAGTTGTCTTGTTAATCTCATAATGCAAGATCTATTTAAGATTTTTTCACTGCCTCGTCCTGGGCTGGCTCCTCACATGGAGTCTGCGGATACGGGTATCGGTCCAACATTGCCTCGTGGGAAAACTGGTCTTCCGCGCATAAGGAACAGTCCGGTTTCCCCTCATGTTAGGGTACATGGTGTGGAACAACCTAACCGTCTGCCACGTAGTTGGTTGAGACCACATGGGAGTCCTCGTGTAGAAAGGCATAACATCAACAATAAACTCCATTTACAAAGCAGTAACTCTTTAACAATTGCAGAAAATGAGAAACATAAGCCGAAACTGCATATGTTGCAAACATAGGTCCAGAATTGTCATGAAATTGCAAGTGGATTATAAGAAGTGCACATTAGTTCAACAGGGCGGAAATCAGTAGCATTTGTTTTTGTTTTTTGATACTGTGTTAAAACGATAAAGAGACAGAAACTTAGCAGCATTACTCCTATGTCATATGTGTACAATCTTTAATGGCAGATCTTTTCAATTTCGATGTACAGGGACAAAGATAACTAGAATGCATAAAAGATTTGTGTCCACCATAATTATATTGGGATTTACTTAATGTGAATGGCAAGTTGTGACAAAAACTCTTTAACTTAGCTACAATCTTATTTGTTGTTATTTGTGCAAGTAAAATGAGCTCATCATCAAGAGTCAACTTCCCCTTTTAACAGTTGTAACTGACCTTACATATCAAAAGAAAAAAAAAACAATTGTAACTGACCTTAAATTAGTCGAATTGTGCAGGAAGAGAAATCAAAACCAAATGCACGAGAAAGACATCGACAACTCAAACTTGAATATCTTTAGTTTTGAAACAAGATGAGACATATCTATGATGTACTCGCTTACGCTTTCTTTAGCATTATACTTGAGTAATCAAGTTTGCCAGAAGCGTACTATTTCGGCCTTATCGCCTTTTACAAAATGTTTTTCAGTTTTCTCAATAAGCTCCTTGGCGGTAGTTAACTTAGCACCCTTGAATGTTACTGGAATTCCACACTTCATGATCATAAGAGTCATACAGTTTGAACGATCCAGCTAATTCAAATTCCGTTTTATTAGCAGAACTCTTATCCGTAAGAGTAGTAGGTTGATCAGTCTAGGGATGGCAACGGTTCGGTTCGGCAAAAACCATAACCGCACCACCAATTT